AAAAAAAAAAAAAAACTGCACAAAAGCTGGGTGCAGTGGCTTGTGCCTATAATTCCAGCTGCTCAGGAGGCAGATGGGAGGATCACTTGAGCCCTGAAATTTGAGGTTATAGTGAGCTATGATTGCACCACTGCACTCCAGCCTGCGCAATGGAGCAATACCCTGTCACTAAAAAAAAAAATTAAATTAAATTAAATTAGAAAAATAAAAGATATACATATGAATGAGCCACTGTTTCTAATTAGTAGGATATCAGTCATTATTGCTATGCTGGGCTGGGAGGATTCCAGCCAGAAATAAGAAAATGTGATGTATTCATTAGCCTCTAGCCTTTCTGTAGGCATGTATACAAGTTCTTCCAGGCTTTTTGAAATCTTGAAGCTTTCTCACAGACACCCTATTTTCTATGTGGAACAGATCCCACAGGGCCTGGGGAGTCCAGACTGGGACCCACTGGACAAGTCAGGTTGCAGAGAGCAGTAGATAGCCTGGGGTTCTTTTTTTTTTCTTTTTGAGACAGAGTCTCACTCTGTTGCCGTAGTAGAGTGCCGTGGCGTCAGCCTAGCTCACAGTAACCTCAAACTCCTGGGCTCCAGCAATCCTACTGCCTCAGCCTCCCGAGTAGCTGGGACTACAGATATGAGCCACCATGCCCGGCTAATTTTTTTCTATATAGATTTTTAGTTGTCCAAATAATTTCTTTCTATTTTTAGTAGAAACGGAGTCTCGCTCTTGCTCAGGCTCGTCTCGAACTCCTGACCTTGAGCGATCCACCCGCCTCGGCCTCCCAGAGTGCTAGGATTACAGGCGTGAGCCACCGCGCCCGGCCCCTTTTTTTTTGAGACAGAGTCTTGCTCTGTCACCTGGGTTAGAGTGCTGTGGTATCAGCCCAGCTCACAGCAACCTCAAACTCCTGGGCTTAAGCGATTCTCCTGCCTCAGTCTCCCAAGTAGCAGGATTACAGGCGTGAGCCACCACGCCCGGCTAATTTTTCTATTTTTTAGTAGAGATGGGGTCTCACTCTTGTTCAGGCTGGTCTCGAACACCTGAGCTCAAGCGATCCTCTCCCCCTCGGCCTCCTAGAGTGCTAGGATTACAGGTGTGAGCCACTGCGCCCGGCCAGAAAGCCTGGGGTTCTTGAGCCCAGGAGATCCTTTTGGAGCTGGCAGCTGTTTAGAGAGGCAGGCTTTAGAGTAGAGAATACAAAGCTGGGCTGTAATGCAACTGCTACTTGCCTCACTTTCTTAACCCTCCGTCAGTCCTTTCCCTGTTAGAGTCCCTGTCTGGAGCTTGCAGCATCCTCTGACACCCAGCCCCACCACCATCTGGCCTCCTGTCTTTGATCCTGCCTGGCCCTCTGCATGCTACTTTATTCAAAGGCCTACTTCTCCAGGAAGCTTGTCCTCACCTTGGCTGAAATCCCAGCTTTGCTCTCAGTAACCCAACTCTTGTGTGCTTCAGTTTCCTCATATGTCCAATGGAGCTCCTCCTTAGGACCGCTGGGAGTGACAAGGCTCAGCACAGAGCCTGGCATATGATGAATGCTCTGTATATGTTGGTGGGGAAACTCTTTCCCCCATACAACATCCATAAGCACTTTGCACCTTTGTTTATGGCCCTAAAATAAAATGATGATGGGAGGAGCCCTCTCCTGTAGATAGGCTTCCTTTTCAGTTTCTAATTATTACCTCATGATACAATGATAGCTACCATGTGTTGAGTGCCAACCATGTGACAGTGAGTGAACTGGGTACCTGACATATATGAAGTCATTTAATCATCAAAGTGACAGGAAGATATAATTATCTGAATTTATGGGAATGAGAGTCATGATCTTGCCCAGGTACAAAGAGTTAGAAAGGGTCAGAATATCAATAAGCCTCAGTTCCTTCATCTGCAAAGTGGAGATAATAATGCTAATTTGTTTGATTAATATTAAGATTAGGTTAAATACGGTAATGAATGCAAAATACCTAGCACAGCACTAAGTGCTCAATAAATGGCAAATAATAACAGTAATAATAATAAATACTCCTTTGCTGGGATCATGGTCAGCACACCCTCATAGATCCTTCAACTCTTTGTCTCAGCTGACTGACCCCTGGCTGTCTCCTGAGGACACTGAGGACACTGCTTCTCCTGCAGCCTCTGAATGGAGGCGGCTTGTTTTTCCTGTGTCAGTTCAGGTTCTGACCATAAATAGCACCCTCACTCACTCAAACTGAGCAACCAGAGTTTAACAACAGAGAACACAGAAGCCAATGCACGTGGCTCAAGGAGGAAGGGAATGGGAAGAATAAGTGCTCTAAACTCATTTTCCTCCCATGCTCCAATCTCCTGTTGGGACTATAATTGGCTGAGCCCAGCTGGAAGCCAGAGGGCAAGGGAGCCCACTGATATGGTCCATAAAGGTCAGCATCCAGGGGCCTAGAGCAGCACGCAAGAATGATCTGGGGGAGCGAGCAAGCAGAGGACATTCGGCATGTCCCAGTCCCAGATCCTTTGGGTTCTGGAGGTGGATCACATCCTACTCATGCCCTAATGGTTCCTCCAGATTATTTGTCCAAAGACCACTTCGAGCACATATTTCTCCTCGTGGAGACTCTTCCCCTTATGTCTAGCACCTCTTCAGTACTATAAATAATCTTTGGTCACCTACTCTCCTTCCCTGAAGTCTTAGGATTCCATTCCAAATCCTGCCATCATCCTGGTGATGTGAACAAGTTCATGTGAGCAACGCAGTCAACATCCAAGACTCGTAAGTTTCTGGGCTTCATCTTTGGTGACTTCCAGCTTCATTCTTCTTCAGCTATCAGTCCTATGGCCATACCCAAGTTCATGTCAAGACCTAGAGAAGCTCACCCTCTGAAATTGCAAATTCACAGATCCCTGTCAACAACTGTAAAGGGTCTACTCTTTTACCCCTACTTGCAAACTAACAAGTTAGCCTGACATAGCTCTATGGGTGCTGAAGGAAAACATAAGATTCCTGAGTCAGCAATGAAGGGCAATTTATTACTCACAGCAATAGCATCAGCCAAACTATTACTAGGTCATTATATATGAAATGTCTGATTTCAAATCAAAAGTTTAGTTTATTATATCTCAAACAAGAAGTAGTGCAATTAATCAAAGTATGCACCTAAACTGTCAACAGTTTTCCCATTTTAACAGTAGCTTGTTTATGCCAGCAGCAAAGAAGCCTGGAGATTGAATGGCAATGAAATCGCAAAGGGTGTTTTCTACAACTTGTTGAGAATTGAATATTTTTCCTCGCAAGCAGTGGTCTGAAGCCTGGAAGAAGTGGTAGTCAGTTGGTGCAAGGTCTGGGGAATATGGTGGATGACAGAGAGTTTCCGAGTACAGCCTCTGTAGTTTAAGCAGTGTTGTTTGCATGACGTATGGTTGAGTGTTGTTTTGCAAGAGGATTGGCCTATCTCTACTGACCAATCTTGGCTGCTTATTGCAAGCATCCTCATCATTTCATCCAATTGGTTGCAGTAGACCTCTGCTATAATCGATTGACCAGGTTTCATGAAGCCGTAGTGGATAAAACCAGTGCTGGACCAACAGACACCATTAGCTTTTTTTGATGAATATTTAGTTTTGGACTGTGTTTTGGCACTTCATCTTTATCCAGCCATTGTGCTGAATGCTTGCGATTGTCAGAAATAATCCATTTTTCATCACACGTAACAATACGGTATAGAAATGGTTCGCCTTTATGTCATGACAACAAAGAAAGGCAAGCTTTGAGACGATTTCTCTTCTGATGTTCATTTAATTAACGCAGTACCCATCTGTCCAGCTTATTTACCTTGTCCATTTGTTTCAAATGGTCCAATATTGTTGGAATAGTAACGTCAAACCTTGCTGCTAATTCACATGTAGGTTGAGATGGATTTGTTTCCACTACAGCTTTCAGCTCATCATTATCCACCTTGGTCTCAGGTCACCCACAGGGTTCATTTTCAAGATTAAAATCACCAGAATGGAACTTCTCAAACCATTTATGTACCATGCATTCATTAGCCACATTCCCAAACACTTCATTGATATTTTGAGCTGTCTGCACAGCATTAGTTCCATGATGGAATTCATATTCAAAAATAGCTTCAACTTTTGACTTATCCATTGTTTCACGATAATAGCTCTAAAAAATTTGAAAGAAAATCACAAGCCAAAAACCATTCATTTTAAAGAATGAGGATGTACCTTCACAAAATAAAACAAGAAGTGTCAAAATGAAATGTCAGCGCTATCAACTGTCAAACTTAGTACTTAAGAAAATCGGACATTTCATACCTAATAACCTAATAGACTTTTTGTGCTGGTACCCTGACTCCCAGTTCCCATGGAGCAATGCGAAGAGGGCTAGAATGATACCTGAACACTCAATGGGTTACATTATAGAAGAATGCTGAGCTTAGGAACGAGAATCTTTTATAATGGGCAGCTGCCTGTGCTCAATAGGGTGATATTGTCTTTTTTCCAAAGGCTATAAGCAAACTGCCCTTTGCTCTGGAAGAAAACACTATCTCTACCTTCCAAGTTATTTGTTTACTGTAAAAATTTACTATAAAGCAGTAGATTCTCCAAGCTCAGTGTTCTTCACTTGAGATGCAAATCCATTTTATGTTCAGCAGCTATTGGGTTCATGGTATTGCCAGGATGGGACTTGGAGAACAGGGGGGACCCGTGCAAACATGATGCTCCTGATGCTTGCCTTGCTGTGATAATAAAGTCTTTTTTCTCTGATTAAGGAGTCTCCTGTCTTTTGTCAATATCCAACCTTTTAACTTGCAAATAGAGTAAAATCCCAGACTTGACACCTATGATAGAGCCAAAGTGAATTTATTTTAGTTTCTCAAACAAGTCATGCCCTGGGTGACATCACAAATGTTATTCTCTCTGCCTAGAATATTTCAGTCCTTCTCTTCTCTTGGTGATCTCTATCAGTTTCTCTGGGAAGCTTTCTTCCCCAGCCTCCCATCCCCTATCCCTCGACTGGGTTATATCCCCCTCCTCTAACTTCCACAGAGCCTTAGGCTTCTCTGATCATAGCGCTTTTCACAATGTATTGTAATTGCCTGTTTATTTACTTGCTCTTTTCTTCCCCAATACAGTAGGATCTTTGTGAAGTCAGAGATAGTGTCTTCTAAATTATATCCCCAGATTTACTACATCGCCTGGCATACTGTAGGTGCTTAATAAGTATTTATGGAATGTTCTATTGTAGAGATACGCATAAAACAGTATAAAAGTACAAAGGGAGGGCATCTAAATCAGAGCAGAGGTCTGGGAAAGGCCTCCTAGAAGAGGTGACATTTGAGGTTGATGTTTAGGACGAGATGGTTAGGTGGGTTGAAAAGGGGCCGGACGCGGTGGCTCATGCCTGTAATCCTAGCACTCTGGGAGGCCGAGGCGGGCGGATTATTTGAGCTCAGGAGTTCGAAACCAGCCTAAGCAAGAGCGAGACCCCGTCTCTACTAAAAATAGAAAGAAATTAATTGGACAACTAAAAATATATAGAAAAAATTAGCCGGGCATGGTGGCACATGCCTGTAGTCTCAGCTACTCGGGAGGCTGAGGCAGGAAGATCGCTTCAGCCCAGGAGTGTGAGGTTGCTGTGAGCTAGGCTGATGCCACGGCACTCTAGCCGGGGCAACACAGTGAGACTCTGTCTCAAAAAAAAAAAAAGAAAAGAAAAGAAAAGAAAAGAAAAGGGAGAGGTGTTTCAGGCAGTGAGAATGGAGGTATGAATGCACAAAAGTGGGAACTAGGATAGTGCCTTTGAGAAATAGCCAATGATTCAGTACGGCTGCAGAGAGGGTCAGAGGGATGCAGTGGCAGGAAATAAAGCTGACAGGCAGGCAAGGGCTGAATCATGAGGAAATCTGAATTTTATTCAGAAATCCCCATTTTCATTTCAGGTTTGGACTTTTTTGTTAAAGACACAAGGCACATCCTCTGACGTGTGTCATAACAGAATAACATGGAATGGTGAGATGCAGAAGAAAGAGTAGTAATTTAAGAAAACTTGGCTTGCAATGTTGGCTCCTCTAGGACCAGTTCTGTAACTTTGGGCAAGTCATTTCACCGCTCTCAGCCTCCGAGGCACTGTGACACAGTGATGAGAATATCCACCTCAAGTGGTGTTCTGAGGACCAAACGCGATAACTAACGTAGGTAAAGTGCCTGGGACATGGCATTATTCAAAAAATATTAGTCTTCGTTCCTTTTTCCTCTGGGCCTCATCTTCCTTATCTGCAAACGGGGTGGAGGCCAGGCTGCTCTCCCAGGCCGCTCCTAGGTGCAGGATTAGCAGTGGAAGGAGAGGTGTACACAGGTGGACTGGCCAGTCTCCTCACCTTGGGCTGGTTCGGCCGCCGCTCAGCCGCGCGAGGGCGCTCTAGGCTGCTTCTTGGCGCTCTATGGTTCTTCCTTCGCCCCGGAAGTGGTTCGGCGCTGGGGTTGGTAAGGTCGGGCCATGGTGGGGCAGAGGTTGGAAGATGGCGTGGCGAGGCTGGGCGCAGAGAGGTTGGGGTTGTGGCCAGGCGTGGGCTCCGCCGGTGAGCGGCCGCAGCTGCGAGGAGCTCACTGCGGCCCTAGCCCCGCCGCGGCTGCTCGGACGCAGGTAATGGCCGCCGCTCCGGGCTTCTCACCTCTCGATCCCTGAGCTCCAGCCTCGCATCCTCAGGGGCGGAGGCTGTTCGGGCCTCTTGTGCTGCGGCCAGCTCACTCCCTTCTCCTTACCTGTCCCTTCCTCTCACTCCTGTCGCCTGCGTCCAGTCCTCGCTTCTTGCCTCCCTGCCCCAGGCTGGGGCGCAGTGACCGGCCCTGGCCCAGCCCTCCGCGAGCCCGCGCTTTCTTCTTGCCCATCCAAAGGGACGTGACGGGAAGGGGAACCGCTGAGGGCTAATTGCGTGCCACATTTCATAATCCTGAGAGGAAACGATTGAACTCCTTTTTTAAGTAAAGCGGTTGTATAGCTGGTAGAATGACAGAGCTGCGGTTTTTATTCTCTTTCAATTATAAACCCTATGTTCCACTGCAACCAATTATCTTATTTAGCGTCCAGGGAGTCTCTTTGCCTCTTGCAAAGTCGTAGGAGAGGCTTTTCTGTTGAAGACTTGAGACAATGGAGTATTTGACTTCCAGATGATTTGGAAAGAAAACTACCAAGCCTGCCTGAGTAGAAGCTGTGTGAAGATTATGGTCTCAGTATTTGCTGATTTTTGCATTAGAATAATTCAATTTTAAGTTGAGAAAGGAGAGAAATTCCTTAACTGTCCAAGAATCTGATGTGTATTTGGCTTTGAAATTTGTCCCTCATCTTTCATCCAGAGTTTCAACCCTCTCAATTTCTGACTTAGATGGGTTCCACAAATCCACCTGATTGATGGTAGCAAGGAACATGTGGAGCTGTTACTATTCTTAAGAATCACTTGAAGTGTTTGTAGAATATATTTCCCAGGCCTCCCGCCAGTCTCACCAAATCAGAACCAGGAGAAGAGTGGAAGAATCTATTTCTTACAAACATTCCAAGTGAATTTTATCCAGGATTTGTGAAAAACTTGCATACATTGTATCTTAACAATGTACTGTAACATGGAGCAGCAGGAGCTAATCTTAAACTCAGGGGAAAGTAGTTAATGAGTAGGTCAGGTGGAAGTGGTGATGGATGGAATTCAGTGGTCCTGATTCCATTGTTTACTCCAAATCCCATTTGAGATTGCATGGCTTAAGGAGGAAGAAAAGGTTAATACTGTATGTTTAGGAAGCAATAAGTGTGTTAAATATTTAAAATTTGTGTACGCATCACTGTACTGGTTTTAGGAAGGGGAAGCAGAAGAAAACTGCTTTGAAACAACAAATGGAACAAGAAGATTAGTATCTCATTTTCAAAAAGCTTACCATTTATGTGGAAAGTTTGAAAATAACATTTTCTTGGTGACATAGAAAAATATGCATTATGTAGATAAGCCTGAAATAGAGCATTTGCTTCCATTGCCTCTGGGAATAAACACTTCAAGTTAATAGGCAGCTTGAGTTACCTTGTATATAACCTTTATTAGGTCTGTTTTGACTTTCTGTGGCAGAGGAATGACTCGATCCATGCAATAGGCCTGAAGTGGGGCCAGGGAATTTGCATTTTTACAAGCACTGTAAGTGGTGATACAGGGGTCCACAAGAACTCACAAGCCAAGAATAGTTTACCTTTTTAAACGGTTGTAAAAGAACAAAATATGTGACAGATTTTAGTAGTCCACAAAGACTAAAATATCTCCTATCTGGCCTTTTACAGAAAAAGCAAAAAAATCTCAGGCTCTTCAGAAACTTTTTTATCAAGCTTCTGGCAGCACTTTTGTAAAACATGGTTTAGGCTTGAAAGTAGAAACCTGCATTATTTGCCAATTGTGTGAAACTATCCAAGAGAAGAAAATAGTTGATTGTAGCACTTAACACAGAGCCTAAAATTTTTAGATTGAGGTGATAGTCTCAAGATATCTGTAGGTAAGATACTTGAAAAATTAGTAAATCAGGTATATTAAATTATTTTCCCTGTTTAACTCACCATCTGTTAAGATGGGTTTCAAGAAAATGATTTTGGCTTGCAAGAGTTCATGTAGGATCTCCCTATCCCTGCCCAATATACCTATTTTGTTTTAAGTGGAATGAATCTAATCACTTGTTTGTGCTTAGACAAATTTGTCTCCATTTGAACATTAGGCCATTTCTACTCAGTTTGTTCATATAGATCTTTAGTAATATAGATATTAGTGCTAACTTGTTTGTATATTTAAGTTGCATTATCTTCTCACACTCTTAAAAACAATCCACGAGACTGTGTATTACCTCACCATTAAGCCAACAAATATATGGACATGACTTTTTTTAAGTTATGCGATCATATTAAACTGAACCATAGCTATGTGGCTAGTGGCAACTCAAGTATTCACGAGATCTTCCCACTTCAAGCACAGTAGATTGCTTCCACAAATCACTAGTTATTGGAAGAAGGACCAAAGCAGCAGAGCGAAAGGTCAGGCTGGTCTTTATGAGTTGGTTTATGCCTCAGGGGACCCTTTTCTCCCATTTCCATCCCTTTTATTGTCCTGCTTCACTTTATTTTCCTAATTTATTTCAGATAAGTAATTTATTTTTTCATCTTATATACCTATCTGAATAGGTAGAGCTGAGTAACCTATACCTGTGAATAAGATCTCAAACATTTACAATTAGAGACATTTATCATGTTTTTCCTGGTTTGTTAGGCATTTTAAGAAATTTAACACAAAAACTCCCTAAAGAGAGAGAATGGACCTTGTAATATGTAATGAATGTACTTATTACATCTGAAAGCATCCTTTTGCCAAAGGAAACCCAACTCTAACTGACATAAGCAATTAGGGAATTTATTGGTTTAAGCAACTGACAAATCTAGAGGTGGAACTGGTTTCTAGTTCCACCAGAACTTGAGACATGATCCAGTGTCTCAAATTGTCCCCATGCCCCATTTTCTCCACGGCTTCTCTGTGCTTCCTAAATGTTGCCTTTGTTCTCTCAGCATGCTATCTCCTTGTACTTATAAGATGGCTACCATCAGCTCTTGGGGCTGTATATTTTTAGGTTCAAATCCAGCAGAAAAAGTTTTCTTTTCCAGTATCACAAGATCTTGAAATTGAATTTCGTTGGACCAGATTGGCCTAATTTGGGACAAGTGCCCATCCTTGAATTCCTTGAAGTTGCCAGGGAATGAGATGTGTAGATTGGCTTAAGCCAGTCATGAGCTTGGTGTCCCTCCCCAAACCGAATGGCTGGAAATTCCAGGATACAGTTTGGAGAAGGAAAGAGGGCATGGGTGCTGGGAGTCAGCCCTAGTGAAACGTTTGTATTGGAATTCCTTGTTATGTTACTTAGTTAGGATAAATCTGTAGCTAATAAACCATTCTAATTTAAGTAGAAGTATTGTTGGAAGAGTGGTAATTCAGGTTCTAGCTCCTTGCTATTCAAAGTGGTTCATGAGCCAGCTGTTTGGGCATCATCTAGGACAGGGGTTTGACAAACTTATTTTGTGAAAGGCCAGATAGAAAATATGACCACATATGATCTCTGTCTCATGTTCTTTTAAACAACTCTTTAAAAATGTAAAAACCATTCTTCACTGGAGGGTCAAATCCACCCTGCAGGCCATAGTTTGCCAACCCCTAATTTAGAAGCTTATTTAGAAATGCAGAATCTCAGACTTACCCTGCCCCAGGCCTGCTAAATTAGAACCTGATTTTAATGAGATCCCCACGTGGTTTGTATGTAGACTAAAATTTTCTCCAAACCTGTGGTAGATCTCAACCCTGGCTGCACATGAGAATCACCTGGGGAAGTCTTAAAAATACTGAGGCCTTGGTTCCACTCGTGGAAATTCTAATTTAATTGATATGAGATGGAGCCTTGGTATAGTATTTTTAAGAGCTCACCAGGCAATTCTGTTGTATAGTGAGGATTGAGAATTACTGCTCTAGACTAAGCTTTCAGAATCATAACTGCCTGTGCCACAACTGGGGTGGTAGATTAAAAAGCATGGCCACAATATTTTGCAGCTTCTCTCATCAGAGTTGGATTTGATTTCTCTATTCCTTGAAGCTAGGTTGGCTTGTGACTTGCTTTGACCAGTAGCGTGTGACAGAAGTAATGTGTGAGGTCCACAGTCTGGGCTTCAAAAAGCCTTGCAGCTTTTGCCTCTTGGAACACTCGCTCTGCCATGGTAGAAGCCCTTGCTAGACTACTGAATACTGAGAGACTGACTACTAGACTATTGAATAGACTACTAGAGTACTGAATACTGGCACTGAGTCTCCAAATATAGGAGTGAGGCCATCTTAGACTCTCCAGCTCCAGTCAGTCAGATGACTGGCTGCATGAGTGACCCAGCTGAGGGCAACTAACCTGCAAAATCATGAGAAATAATAAATAATGGTTTTAAGCCAGTAAGTTTTAGGCTGGCTCCTTATACAGTAATAAATGAGACACCTGGGAAAACTGCCACCAAATCAGGATCTGCTGACTAAAGAAAGATCTGTGCTGTCTCCACCATTATTTTCTTTCTTTCTTTCTTTTTTTTTAGAGACATAGTCTCTCTCTGTCACTGAGGCTGGAGTGCAGTGATGCAATCATAGCTTACTGTAACCTTGAACTCTTGGGCTCAAGCGATCCTTCTGCCTCAGCCTCCTGAGTAGCTGGGACTGTAGATAGGTATGCACCATCATGCCTGGCTAATTTTTTTTTCTTAACCTTGGGGCTGGCTTGTGTAACATACTCATGGTGTCCTTAGCCCTATACTTATTTCTGGTGAGATTTTCAAGGTAAATATTCTAGGCAAAAGGTCTGGCTTTGCTTTAAGTCCAGATTCTCAACTTAGTCTGTGTTCCTTTTCAAATGTTGTGCTTCAAAATTTTAAATGAATTGGTGAGATATAGAAGTAATCTTTCATTAGAAGTGATTGAGTAGTATTAAGCTGTTGAAAACATAAGGAATTCTCATCTTCTGTATTTCTTGGTCTAGTAAGAGAGAAATGCTAGAAACCACAGTATTTGTTGGTTTCTAGCATTTGTGATCTTTATAGTAAATATATTCCCA